TCTGAAACAGTACTCCCGAGGTACTTGAAAGTCTTACACTTGACTAGTGATTCTGTACCAGTGCTGATCTCTTCTAGTAGTGATGTTGAAAACTGGAACTTTGGCGGTTGGTAAGGGAATTCTGTCTTCTCGCTGTTGATTTTGAGGCTGAATTGATCGGCTGTTCTCGCAAATTTCTCCAATGAAGATTGCATATCTTCTGCGCATGCACTGTGTGCAGCTAGGGACTTTCATCGGCAAAGAGCATTTCTACTACTACCTTCGTCGATGTTTTACTCTTAGCTTTGAGCTGTGCCACATTGAACAGGTCTGCTTCTTTCCTTGTTTGAATGTATACTCCTTCTGAAGTGTCTTTGAAGGCCATCTCAAGCATCGCTGACAGATAGTAGCGAGAAGAGTGTAGGCGCCAGTACACACCCTTGTTTAACCCCGTTGCTTACTGAGAAGTCTTCAGACACTGAACCACTCATTGCCACGTTAGCTTACATACCTGTATGGAGTGCCTCGATCACGTTGACAAACATCTCTGTGCAGCCATATTTCTTGAGTACCTGCCAAAGTCCTTGTCGCGATACAGTATCGAAGGCTTTACCGAAGTCAATGAAGACTACAAAAAGTGGCATGTTCTGTTCGATACACTTTTCTTGAACCTATCTCAAGCAGAAAATCAGAGGTGTGTTGATTGAGCCTGTTCAGAAGTACGCGTGCGAGAATCTTACCTTTATCTTCTTTCACCTCCCCTGTGTTGGTCATTGTTGGGGCATACACGCTGAGGAAAGTGGCATACATCTTTCGCTGTAGTGGGAGTCTCATAGTCATTATTCTGTCGTTGATTGGCACTGGTTCCTCGTCCTTGTTAACCCGGGCGACGTCCGAGCCGGTATGAGTTGTTTTCTGACTGACCATTTCATGAAACTGCTTGCAAAGAACTGAAGCACTGCTAGCTTTAGCTGGATTAGCAGCACATTATCGGCAGATGAAGGTGTTTCAGTGGCAAGGATAGGCCAAGACAAACTGACTCCAGCATCTGTTGCAGTAACTAACCAAATGATTGGTTAGTTTGTCTCCGCTCTTTTTGAAATGCATTGCACAATGCACCGACTTGCAAAAGTCCGCCACAAACCTTACGACAGAAGTGTTGATCATCTACAAGGATGTCCATTCTCACCCCGAGTAACTGGGAGTGGTCCACCACAGACCTTAAGACAGATATTGTTTTTAATTCTGTCAGGATGCCCAGTTTCACCCTCCACGCTCTCTATGGGGCGGGGTTGCCGGTTGAGTCGACTTCCCGACCCATGAGACGGGTAGTACTGGTTTTTATGGTTATCCAGTAGCAAGCAAACCAATACTGACCTGACTTGGTGATAAACTGCTAGAAAAACATTTTCAAATGTTCCCAGAACGTTGTAGTGAAAGAATCGATTCTTCTTATTCTTTTAGAAAACCCGCGACCTTTCGAAAACCACCTAATTGATGGCGAGACACCCGACACACGACCATTAATCAAACTCAAGCATGCGTAACTTTTTTTTTAATTGATAAGATAAACAAACGAAACAAACGTAGTTAATATTGTGAATTCTAACACTTTAAGCTCGTTATAAAAAGGTTCCAGTTGTAATCAAATCGGCTTCACATATAGGTTCCTCTTTGTAGTGACTCATTATGAATCCAGATTATCGAATCGTTCAGTTAACTTGTGTTACTAAAAACAATGTTTCCCTAATAACAGGAGAGGATGGCAATGGAAAAATAACGGCAGAAGCCATGATAACTTCCATGAACATCGCCTTACTAGTAGCCCTGTTCCTGCTAAACTCCGATCACATTCAGAAAGCCATTGAGATATGCAACGAATGTTTAATTTTGCTAAATAACAGCGATCAAAACAGCAAAGATCAATTTGATTCAGTGCTACTACAATTTGACAGCGACATCTATACAGTTCTTTACAGCGCATATCGTCATATCTCTGACGACGTAAATGCGGCAAGATACGGCAGGAAACTGCATGTCTTCTCCAGCAAGTATGGAATTCTGTATTATAAACTTGGCGAAAACCTTAAAGCGAAGGAATATATTGCAAGGGCCCTTATCAAATCGACCGAAATTGGCGACAAAAGCGGAGAAGCATCCTATTACGTAAACCTTGGTGCCGTGTTTAAGTCGCTCGCAGAATACGACAAGGCTAAAGAGTATCTCCACAAAGCGCTTGTCATCACAACTGAAATTGGCGACAGAAATGGAGACGGAACATGTTATGGAAACCTAGGTAATGTGTTTCTGTCGCTCGGAGAATACGGCAAGGCTAAAGAGTATCTCCACAAAGCGCTTGTCATCACAACTGAAATTGGCGACAGAAATGGAGAAGGAACATGTTATGGAAACCTTAGTACTGTGTTTCAGTCGCTCGGAGAATACGACAAGGCTAAAGAGTATCTCCACAAAGCGCTTGTCATCACAACTGAAATTGGCGACAGAAATGGAGAAGGAGCATGTTATGCAAACCTAAGTACTGTGTTTCAGTCGCTCGGAGAATACGACAAGGCTAAAGAGTATCTCCACAAAGCGCTTGTCATCACAACTGAAATTGGCGACAGAAATGGAGAAGGAGCATGTTATGCAAACCTAAGTTCTGTGTTTCAGTCGCTCGGAGAATACGACAAGGCTAAAGAGTATCTCCACAAAGCGCTTGTCATCACAACTGAAATTGGCGACAGAAATGGAGAAGGAGCATGTTATGGAAACCTTAGTACTGGTTTCAGTCGCTCGGAGAATACGACAGGGCTAAAGAGCATCTCCACAAAGCAGACAAAGCGCTTGTCATCACAACTGAAATTGGCGACAAAAATGGAGAAGGATCATGTTATGCAAACCTAAGTACTGTGTTTCAGTCGCTCGGAGAATACGACAAGGCTAAAGAGTATCTCCACAAAGCGCTTGTCATCACAACTGAAATTGGCGACAGAAAAGGAGAAGGAGAATGTTATGCAAACCTAAGTACTGTGTTTCAGTCGCTCGGAGAATACGACAAGGCTAAAGAGTATCTCCACAAAGCGCTTGTCATCGGAATTGATATTGGTGATAAGAAAGGGGAAGCATCACGTCTTGCAAACCTTGGACATCTCTCTGCAATTGTTGGAAATTATGAAGTTTCGGAAGTATGCTTGGAGAAAGCTTTATCCATATCCAGAAATATTGGAGATAGAAGACAAGAGTTCCGAATCCTTCAATATTACGCCCTTTTGTATTCATTTCAAAATAAAATCAAAGACTCCCTTGTATGTCTTCATTTGTGCATTGAAAAGTACGAGGAGCTGAGATATTTCTTGGGGGCCAATGATGAGTTCAAAACATCACTTCTGGAGCACTCGGGAATATTTCCCTACAAGCAACTTAGTACTCTGCTTTGTGATACCGGAAATGCTCTTGAAGCTCTTTATGTTGAGGAGTTGGGTCGAGCGAGAGGTCTATCAGACTTGATGACAGAGAAGTACTCGCTTGAAACGCAGATTTCTGCTGATCCACAATCTTGGTTTGGCATTGAAAACAGTTTTAGAAAGAAAAATAACTGTGCTTGTTTGTACATTTCTTATTTTCACAATGTTCTGCATTTGTGGATCTTGAAAACAAGTGGAGTCCTTCACTATAAAAGATTACTAGAAGAGAATCTAGTTCAGGCTGGGTTGCCCAAAGATTTGCCTCTGAGTGAGTTTTTGGCTGATAGTTTCCGGAGTCTTGGTATTTTGCCCACTGAAGATTGTGAAGATCGGTCTTTAAATATGGTTGAATTGGAACCTCTCTCCCCCGAACAAAAGAGCCTAGCAAGAATGCGACTCGTGGAGGAGGACGAGGACAAGGAGGTCATTTCAAGTCTATCTTTGTGTTACAAAATGTTTATTGCCCCTGTTTATGATTTGCTTGAGGAGCCTGAAATCATTATTGTTCCTGACCGCAGTTTGTACAAAGTTCCCTTTTTTTGTTCCTTCAAAGAGTAACAATTTATTCTCTCAGTTAGGTGTAAAATATAGAATTTCGAAAGCGTCTCTCTGCCAATCAGATACAAGTGTACATTTGCCTACATATTGCGCCTGGTATAACTGTATTTGCTTTATTTAAAATGTTGATTGTGTTATTTATAATTGTTTTTTACGTTTGTCACAGGAAAAAGATGAGAATATCTCGAAGTAAACAGACCTTAGAGTGATAAACTAGAATAAGTGAGCTATCCGTTATTTCATTGTGTAATTACAGAAAGGGCAATCTCAAATTAAGCATATTGATTTTAATTTTTTGCTTTCTCTTTTCCGATCTTCTCAGAAGGAGATTGGTTGTCCGAGAATATTTTTTTCTGCACGAAAATTATCTTATCCGGCCGATATAATTAGACGAAACATTTTGACTTAAGCTCAGTGGTGAAATCAGAAAGTTAAAACAGTAGTTTAAGCATAAAAAACGAGCCAGAACAGGTATTTTATAAATTAAAGTTAAATTAAATGTGAAGGTGGCTATGACTTACTGTTCGCTGACTGTCGGCAGTTATCCTTTGTCACCTTGAATATCAAAGGTGTCCTTCTCATTTCCTTCTTTAACAATTTCTAAGAGCGTTTAACATCACGCTAATTATTCCGAACGTTAACACCTGAAATATTTGAAAGGAAGCGCCAGTGCCTGAAAGCACCAGAGATGTTGGTGAAATCACTTAAAACGTTCGCGAAACGACCTAAGACGTTTTTATAGCAACAGCTGGTCGTTAAAGAAACGACCCCCAAGCAAAACGGTCGCAATTCCCCGATATAGATCAGACTTAACCGCTGATAGCCATTCACTCGTGGAAAGCGGAAGGAACCACTACTACTAAAAAAATCTGCGTCCAATGAAGTCGATATTTCCGATCCAGTCACTACCGGTCGACGTTACAGCCGGCCAGGTTACATTTCTAGCCTAAACAATAATGGCGGCTGCTAGCGAGTTTCCAACAGAACTGGCGACCCGTCCTTTGGGCCTCACAGCTCTTATGGGACTTGATATTAATCAGAAACCTTTGCACAAAGCTATCTGGGAGTCTTTCTGTGAACAGGCATCCTGAGAGAGTTCCACTATCCTTCAGACTTCTACCAATTGATCACGAATTTCCCAAAGCAAAATCAAAGGTGAGCTTTCCTATCGCTTTTAAGTGTAGTTACTCTTAAATCCTTTGATTACGTGAAATTCTTCTTATTTTAAGCTCTTTCAGTATAGTGGGAGCTCACTCAATGGGCTCTCTCGTAGTAGGCAAGTCAACTTGGCCCACCTTCACTAAAAATTAAACCCTTTTGAGCTCTTGGACTAAACCTAACCCTTTAAACCCGAACGTCAGTATGAATATTCTCCATACTTTTCCTAATACTTTCCTAAGGTAACAATCAAGAACTGTAGTTGGTGATCATTTCCGTTATTCTCATGACCTTAGCTTAAGGTTTGATTCTGGGGTTATATGACAAAGAGAAATTAGATGCTGAAGGGTTAAATGGACACTATTTTCGTACAGCAAGGGTGTCTGCATAGGAAGTTGCCACTGTTTCATTTTTCTTATATAATTTTATAAAGAAAGTTCCAGGAGTGATTTCCACAAAATCATTAAAAGAGTTAATCACAATTCAATCATACTCCTGGGTTTTTTTCCCAAGGAAGCATTCTCTTGCTTCCTTGAGTTCTGACTCTCTCAAACCTTTCACTCCAAAGATTTCCTTAGTAATTCTCTGTACTGTCTGGTGTACAATTCTTAGGATGTTAGTTCAGAGAATCTGGAATTGGATCAACTAATGATCCTGTAATTTATTCTTTTTTCTTTTTTCTCATCGCTTGTCTGCTTGATATTGCATTGAAATTTTAGAAGTAAGTTCTGTCTCCGTCACTCATGGGATTTGAAGTGTTAACCCTTTAACTCCTAAGATCTGATTGTTAATTCTCCCCTCCAGCTGCCACAAATTTCCTTGTAAATTAGTTATGAGAACTTGATGCTAGATCAAGATGAAAGCTTCTACCTGATAAATTTGAATATTCTCATTACCTGTTTGCTGAATAATGTTTGGATATCATAGGGAAAAGTTTCATGTTAATCACTTCTGGGAGTTAAAGGTTTAAGTGAACCTTTATCTTTGTTGGTGTGCATGGAGTCTCAGTAATATTTTCCATAAGTGAGGGCAGATACTGCCATTAGTGGGGTCACTACCATTGAAAATCTTAGCAGATAGCCATAGCAATGTAAGACCTCTCACAGAAGCAGTAGGCCTCCTGTAACCAGTGTTACTGAAATCTCTGCTTATGCAAGTTTATGCTGGCTTTTTATTACTGAGTCTTGTTTCCTTGTAGCGTTCTACCTATGAGTGGTACATACCAAAGGGTATCTTGAAGACAAAATGGATGCACAAACATCTTTATCTCTCTCCTGCTGTGGTGGTCATGTTTTATGAGTTGGATTGGGATGACGTTCAGTGGAAAGACAGGCAAACTGAATGTGCTTCAAAACTAGAAAGAGTCAGGTAATAACAAGAGAGTGAGAATGTTATCTTACCCCTCTATAACAGTGAACCTTAATCAGCACTAATGACATGACTGAAAATTATTAATAAGTATTATGACAAGTGTAGTTTGATTTTTAGGCAAGAGGGTTCCATTGTATGTGTTGATTTTTATGACATTGTACAACTCAAAAAAACTTAATTCCGTGCTCTCTGACAGATAAACACACAGAATAATATGTAAATACTAACATGTAAATTTGAGCAGAAAACAATTGTTTAATTAACAAAAGAAAATGACTTTTGTCCAATCATCAGCTTAATTAACAATTACTGTGATTTAGAGTGCAATTCAAATAACAACCATCAAATAAGTTTGTCATAACAACAGTAAGTGCTCCTGACACTCTGGAAACCTCCTTCTCTACCAAGCGACAATCAGATACTTGTAAGTTATAATAAGAACATTACAAAACTCATCAACTCATCAAATGCAAAAAAAAATACCCAGTACAATGAATAATTTTGGATTCTATAACTTCAATCCTACACATTTAAAGCAATCTTTTAATTTCTGAACAGGACCAGCCTTCAAGACCAGAACACTAAGGTTGCTGTGGTTCTTATCCAAAAGAATGCTCCTCTTCCTCCAGGTAAACATCAGTAAATACATAGAAGTCAAAAGATGATGTTATTAAGTAGAGAGTTTTAGATCCATGTTTAGTGTTTTCATGCTAACGTCAAACCATAAGTGACTGCCAGGTCTATCTTAGAAATCTGCCAGAGGCATTATGATGAGAGTTACATGTCATTTATTGAGCTAGGCATGGGCTGGAAAATGGAGAAAAACTGCACCCAAAGTCTTGAGAATGACCCAAGAGTGGTGTCTGTAATCAAGGTCAAGGGCACAGTTTCTTCCCACATAGAAAAACATGATTGTAAAACTGTATTTTAACAAGCTGGACCAGTTACTGGGGTACAATTAGCCAATCAGAGTCAAGAATTTAAGATTCCAGCCTGTTGACATGCTTCAGAAAAAAAATATGTTATTTCATATTAGTTCCTGTATCCAAAGATTTGAGTACCCTTCATGGAGGAAATTTATGCTATTATAATGAATCACAGGTGATGATTTACAAGCACTAGAGAGGGCAGCAACACTGTGCAGTGCATGTGACCTGTCAGCCAAATCATTGTTTGTCCTTCCACATACAGATCACTTGATTGGCTACACAATTAGGTATTTGTTCAAAATTTATCATTTTAGATTGATTTTGATGAGATTGGTTTTCATTGAGTTTGCAGTTGAATGTAAAAGCCCAACTTTTGTCAAATATAGGAAAAGATTTATTTAGTAAGAGTTTCATATTTTTTCTATCATATTTATTCTAGCTGATCAAGAAAAGTTACAAAACAGGACACAATAAAGACTAAGTTAGTTAGAATTATTTGGAAAAAGTGACAGTGAAGTAGAAAGAAATTGAAAAGCTTTTACATGAGTAAGCCTCAGACTCTATTAACCCTTTAACTCAGTCTCAAGATTTCATTAGTAATTCTCTTTACTGTCTGCCATACAATTCATGTGATGTTTGTGTGGAGAATTTGGAATTGGATCAACCAATAATCCTCCACTGGATATTTTTTTCTTTATTCTCATTACTTGTCTGCTTGATATTGTACTGATGTGTAAGGAGAAATTTTGTCTTGGTCACTAGTGGGACTTAAAGGGTTAAACTAACTTTAGACTCACTACAAGTTGTTTAGTTACTTACATGGGATGAGAATGTTTTAAAAATAAGGGAATATCTATCAGAAAATCAGATGTTATCAGCATTTATCAAGACTTTCCCAAGAGAGTTAACAGCCTCTCTATTGATTTGTGTTTTCATCTGATTAACCCTTTAACTCCCAGATCAAATTTGTAATTCTCCTTACTGTCAACCATACAATTCTTATAATATTAGTTTGGAGAATTTTTTATCAGATCAACTAATTATCCCCAAATTGATATTTTTCTTTATTCTCATCTCTAATCTAGTTGATATTGTATTGATATTGTAAGGAGAAATTCTGTCTTGGTCACTCATGGGAGTTAAACAGTTGAATGATCATACTACAAGTTATCGTAGTCATTCATGGGACATGAAATTCATGCAGCTTCAAAATAAAAAAGGAACAGGTTTGAAACTTATGAGATAAATATTTCTTCTTCTTCTTTTTTTTTAAGGCTGGAGAATGCTTTTTATGATTTAGCACAGAGTTATTACCATGGAGAATGTAGGAGAGTTAAAGCCCACAAGGTGAGGTTGCAATTCTGGAAATTTAAGGGAGTAGGGAGAAGGTCAGGTTATTAAAATCCCAGCCAGGAGGAAGCAACAAGCCTGTATTTGCTTCATGCTGCAGAAACTAGGGAGATGCAGTGGCAAATGTAATAAACTTTGTCCACTGTTGAATGGTCCTTGTCTAAAATTTATTTTCAACTGTCACTGTCTACATCGTCTTGTACATAGATGATACGTAGATGGATGACACAGATTGAAGATGAGGCCACAGTCTCTGAGTGTCTTGAATTGAATTTTCAACTAGTCAGTAAAAGGGGAAAAGATAGCGTTCTGGTTAGCTTTTTGGACTCTTTTGGTTTAACTGCCTTAGTTCGACATAAATTCATGCTAAAGCCATTGGGTTTTTTAGTAGGACACTCCCCCTGTACTAAGTAAATTTCTCTTCTCAGATCAAGGACAGAAAAGTATCAGTAACTAAAACTGTCTGTTGGAAAATGTGCCAAAATTCTGGGTCATATACAATCCTGTATAACTTGCCTGGTAGCGCAATGTAATGTTTTTATAGATTACCTTTTCACTAGCCAGAATTACCATCAAAATAATTTTGTTGTAGCACAAAAAGTAAAATTTTATCAATATACGGAATGAAGAGACACTTATTATGTTTTCATGCTCTTTATGATCATTAGGAATTTCTTAACAAAGGAACTCATCAGGTGAGAACTTTAATTTGCAAAAGTGATCTTTGTATGTCAATAATTTGATGTGATGGATTCTACTCAAACTACAGAACTACATTTAGTGAAAGGCTGAGGGAAAGAGTTACCAAGAATTCGTAGCAGAAAAAGCTTGTTGATGTCAGCTTTGAAGGGTGTTACTTTGAAATGTTTCTCATTCGGTGTCTTTTTTTTGCTACCCTCTTATATATATATTATTATTATATTCCACCAAAGACATCACTGACCACATTTTGCTTTGCAAATGGCCTCAACAATTCATAAATCTCTTATTTTGCTTCTCTACTGTTGTTGTAGCTATTGTTGGTGCGACACCAATTCAAGGTTGCCTTTTTCAATGAGCTAAGACAAGACCCTCACTCTGCTATCAAGTAAGTTCGTCAGTATTTATTTTTTTATTGATCTTACAATGACAACAATTAGTTGGCCTAAAGGTAGATCTCAGTGTTTCCCTTTTTTTCAGTTAAGGGAAGGAAAAGGAACTTTCAGGGCTGTATTAGCCAACTTTCTGTTAAGAAACTTTTTTGAGAAAAGAAAATATAAAGAGGAAAAGTAGAAATGAAAATTTTGAAAAGGACACCTTGTGAGAATATTAAACAATATACTTTCAGCTGACAGCAATGCTTGTCTCTGAAATGATCAGCAATTAGTGTAGGATTTTCACAAGGTATCTCAAGGTTTAGAACTAGGACAGTGGAGGAGAAGGAGCAAATTTTTTTTTTTTATGAAAGAAAATGACAGAGAGTTAAAAGTTGTTCTGCCTTGCCACATGACAGCCAAAGACAGTTTACAAAATTGGCAACTCCTGCCACAGATTTCTTCCCCCAATATTTTCAGTCTTCCTGCCTTGGAGATCTCTCAACATAAACTCCCAAGTTAGTTACATTTGCATATTAACATACCAGACATCAGCTGATTGATGTAAGACTTTTTTAATTTTTAACCCCAGGCACTACAGGCAAGCATACAGTCTTCTTGGAGAAATCAAGACAACTGACATGAACATACTAGAGATCAAAGTTGTTGCTGGATTTATTAATTACAAGGTTTGTGTTTTTTCATATTTTAGAACTCTAATCAATATATATTTGGTGTATACCATTGTAATAATAGTTACATAAAAGTAATGATGTGAAGAAGACATTGTACATCTTGGATGAGTTAAAGACATGATCTCTTATCACGTAATTTTACATTTTTGGGATTATGTACTCCTTTTGTCAAATATGCAAGGTAAATTTTTCACCAGATACCTTAATTGTGCCGTTAAATCAAAAGATCTCTGTCTGTAATTCTAAGTCTGAGGTGTACAGTCAAGTTGCTCTTAAGTGGGCACTTTAGGGAGGTGGCCATTTAATAAGTTTATTTTAAAAAATATAATCAGAAAGTTATGAATGAACTATGGTACAGTACTGATTTGGTATTTATTAATTCTTGAAATCAGTTTACCCACTTAACCATCCAATTTCATTT